ACATTTTGTTGGATTATAAGACATATTGCTTTTAGATTTGTGATCTGCAAGAATTCCATCTGCACCATTCACAGGAGACAGTGCCACTGAGGATTCCAAATGGTCTATTCCTATTATTTGTTTACCTGGTTAATAAGAGCAAATTTCACTGAAAAAACACTTTGATTTGGAGAATTCAGTCAGTTACTTTATTTCTTGGAATGGCTTGTATGGGAAAAAAATGGCCCTATACGTTTTATATAAGGGCAGTTAGTTTTTTTCCTCCCACGGTACATACACATCAGAGATTTGTAAAGAAACCACTATCAAAGGATCTTCTTTCCAGGTGAGTGCTGGGGTCAATAGTAAAATTAAGTCCATGATTACTTTAAATCAACTTTCATCCCATCCCAAGTGGATAGCGTCACTGAATTTCATGAGTTAACATCATACCATGTTTTCTCTGCTGTGGTTCTTTCAGACACAGCCCCAGTGAGAATGAAACACAAGTTACTGGCTCAACCCTAGGGGACCAATTATGTAGCTTCAGCTGACAGCTATTGTCATGGCCACTTAAGTGTCAAGACTTTTGATGTCCATTTGTAAACATAACCTTTCATTTAAAAATACTACTACTTTCTTTGGCAGCCATCCTAACCTAATTAGGAACTAACGCAGACCTGTACAGTTTCTTGTAAACACATCAGCATAACAGAGGATCTGGCCAGGGCCAGAACACGACGTGCGCCTGACTGAGGGGTTTATCTCGCTCCTCCTCCTGTGATGCACTCACAGGTCTAGATTACACTCAGCAAAGCTGCTTTTCCTTTCATTTCCCAGTTTTGACGTTTTAAATGGATTTACTTCTCTTGCTGTTGTTCTCTTGCTCTTACTCCTCCCTGGCGTTTTTTTTCTTCCTCCTGCTACTTCGTTTTGCCCCCTCCCCCTTCTTTGACTGTTACAACTTTATTATTGAAACATTTACAGACGAACTAGTCTGACAGTTTCTAGGCAGTATGGAACCCAATTTAATGATGACATAAGAGACCATCATGTTTTCAGTAAATGTGTATTACAAGTCTCATTTTTTAGAACTTCTTCTGAGAGTAGGGGCTGCTTCATTTCCTGCATGGCTCTACTGGTAGTCGGGCTATCAGATAAGCACACAGAGGGAGATACCAGGCTTGATGAAAGCTGTGGCAGTACTTACAAGTTGTCAGGGGCATATAGTTCTGCCCTAGAGACGAGCTGTGGCAGAGCATGCATTTTAGACTTTGTCAATCACCAGTGATATGAACATAATCACCAATTTTGGCTGTAAAATGTCATAGTAATATTAACAGCTAATTTTAAGTGTCTACTATGTGCCAGGTTCTATACTGAGTACTTGACCTATTCTTTTAATCTTCGCAACAACCCTGTGGAGATGAAACTTAGTTTCAAGGAAGTTAAGTAGTATTCACGCAATCGTGTAGCTTGTGAGTCTGATTCCAAAACCTGTATTAGTAGTCACTACATTTGACTGTCTTCCTGCTAATCAGAATATAAATCTTTTTATAATCCTCTAGAAAATGAGTATGAAAAATTGTACTGAATATGATAGAGATGAGCAAGCGCTGCTCCTGGTAACTGTCTATGGGGCTAAGAAAAATCTTGTTGGGTATTAGTATCTTCTGTGCCTCGTATTACTCCTTGGGTGTATACGAAGGGATTCTAATGAATGATAAGGGGCTGATACAGCTTTTCTTCTAAGATTTGGTCCATTTCATGAAACCTATTCTTTAAAACTAGCCCTTCCACCAGATTTGAGAACAAAATTCTGTTCAGCACAGAAATGAACAAAACATGCAAATAAGACCTTTCCCTGAGGCCCTTAGTTTTGGCAGTTAAATTCCAAAGGCAGGATTCCTGAGATAACAAGCGAACGCCAAACTGCCTTCCATGGAGTGCTACCATTTTTGGACTCCTCCAGCGTGCATGACTGTTCTTTAACTCACTGTATTCATACTGATGACAGCAAACACTTAATGAGCGCTTACTATTTGCCACATATTGTTCTAAGAACTCTAAGTGCCTTGTTGTATCCGATCTGCCCTGTGATATAGTGCTGTTTTCTCCACTGTTCACATAAGGAAAATGAGACACAGAGAAATAAGTAACTGCACAATATCAAAGATATGCAAGTGGTAGAACCAATATTCAAACTCTCGTAGCCTGACTTCTGAACCTGCATTCTACTGTCACAACCTGCTCCTCCCCGCAGCTGGGCAGGTCACCAATGGCTTTCTTGTTTCCAAAAACAATTCCCAGCCCTCATCCTCAGCTTTTTCGCCCTCATGCTTGCATTCAGTGTAGGGGCTATAGTCTTTGAGGAGCCACTCCTGAATTACTCCTCATTACACATAGTTTAGACGTTTAGTACAAGCAAGAGACAGAAAAAAAGATGTTATTTTCAAAATTATTTGGGAATAAAAATACCATGTAGTATATCAGTTAGGATTTGACCAAAAGGCTCCTGACTAAAGATGAAAGGGTTAACAAGAGATCTTGAAAATTTTCTAGTATTTAATAATGTTAGAAATTTGTAAAAGTCTCTAGTAAAGCTAATGATTTTAAAATTTGGAAATATGTTATTTTATGGCATATTTAATTGGAGGAAATTTTCTATGGCATTCTTAAATATTTATATTTTATTGCTTATGTAATTACTTAAGCAATACTTATTTGTAAGAGTAAAATCTTTGATATTATATACCAAGTTTTTGATCTGGCCTTGAGAATTCTAGGTAATAAATAAGACAAAAAAACACACTGTCTCTGACACTGATTTAATCTTAACAGATAAAAGAGAATATGTGAATAAATAAAGTGCATAGTGATATTTTTTAGTTTCATGATCAGGTGGAAGGTAGAGGAAAGTATAAAACCTAGTTATCAATGAAATATATGTTAACTAGTAATTGTAAGTTACTCAAAATCACAAATCATCAGGGAAATGCAAATGAAAACCACAATCAGATACCACCTCACACCAGTTAGGATGGCTATCAGCAAGAAGACAAGTGATAGGGTGAATGTTGAAACCACTGTGTTGTTTATGTGAAACCATCACAAGATCGTGTATTAATGATACTTCAAAAAAAAAGACAAGTGATAAAAGTGTTGGCCAGGGTGTGGAGAAAAGGGAACCCGAGTATACTGTTAGTGGGAATGTTAAATGGTGCAGCCACTATGGAAAACAGTATGGAGGTTCTTCAAAAATTGAAAATTAAACTAGCTTATAATCCAGCAGTCCCTTCTGGGTATATAGCCAAAGAAAATGAAATCAGAATCTCAGAGAGATCTGCACCCCCATGCTCACTGTAGCATTGCTCACCATAACCATGATATGGAAACAACTTAGTGTCCATCAACAGATGAATGGATAAAGATGATGTGGTGCATATATGCAGTGGACTATTACTCAGCTATGACAAGGAAGATCTCTTATTTGCAACAATATGTATGGAGCTTGAAGGCATTATGTTAAATGAGGTAATGTTAAATGAGGTAAGTCAGAAAAAGACTGTGTGGTGTCACTAATATGTGGAATCTAAAAAAGAAACTCAGATAAACAGAGTGTAGAGTGGTGGTTACCAGGGTTTGGGGGTGGAGGAAATATGGAGATACAGGTCACAGGGTACAAATTTCCAGTTGTAAGATTAACAAGTTTGGGGAGCTAATGTACAATATTGTGATTATAGCTAACTACATTATTAAATGCTCACCCCAACTAGTATAGCTACTATCTGTCAACATAGAAAGATGTTACAAAACCACCGGTTATATTCTCTATGCTGTACTTTCATCCCCATAACTGATTTATATTAATTTATGTTATGATTGAGATTTTTGTGCCTCTTTATCCCCTTTACCTATTTACCCACCCACCCCAACCCCTCTCCCCACAGTAACCACCAGTCACTTCTCAGTGTCTCTGATTCTATTGCTGTTCTGTTTGGTTTGTTTTTAGATTCCACATGTAAGTGAAGTCATATGTTTGTCTTTCTCTGCCTGACTTATTTCATTCAGCATAATACCCTCCAGGTCCATCCATGTTGTTGCAAATGGCAAGATTTTTCTTTTTATGGCTGCATAATATCAGTGTGCATATATACCACATTTCTTTATCCTTTCATCTACTGATGGACACTTTGGTTGTTTCTGTATCTTGGATTTTGTAAATAGGCATAATGTGAACTTTTGGAAAGCGGGGTATACCTGTATCTACATGTATGCATATATGTATTTCTGGGAGAAGAAACCTAAAAATTAGTTTTGAGCTAATTGTTCTTTTGTTACTGAGAAGGCAAACGAACATATGAAAGTGTAAAATATGCTTTAGTTAGTTGCGGAGAGTATCTGATCTCTCTGTTCTACCCCTGCCCTTCTCTATCCTCCTTTCCACATGTGGGGCTGAAAGCCTGCAAACTACTCTCCCCAGAGTCCCTTGCCAGTTGCTTTCCTGTTAAGTTCCACCAGTGGGAGACATGGGCAAGTGATTAGGAATTGGGATGAGGGCAGAAGCCATTTTTTCCTCCTGTCTTCTGACAGGAGCATCTGGTAGCAGAGGCCACTGGCCAGAGTGAGCTCCGGATTCTCACTCAGGCCACAAGGCTCTGATGACAGTGGCAGTGAGTGTTCAAGCAGGCCCTGGTGCCAGAGGCCCCAGAAGCAGCATTGGCAGAAGGGGGTCCTCAGCAGCCTCAGAGGCCTACACTGTCGGTTCTGGGTGATATTGTTTCCCCCTTCACGCCTCTGGTCCTAGGCATGGTAGTGATCCCCTGCAGTTACTGGTCTTTGGGTGAACTTACCACTACTGGCTCATGTAGATCTTCCAACATCTTTGTAACTCATTTCCTGTACTAAATTCCCTCTGTTTGAAATGCCTGAGCTGGTCTCTGTTATCCTGACTGGACACTGACTAATATAATTTATGGAAGTTTTTCTCTGATCCATAACTAGAGCTTATTTTCTTTCAGATGATGGTACCCAGACAGGATGGCGTCACATTTTTATGACAACGGAGATATTTATGGTATAACTGACAAGCCAAAGCCAGTGACTGTAACATTAAGATGAGAAGAATTAGTCTTCTTGTGCTGTTCCTGTAGGTATGCCAGTGTCCCCCTTCCATCAGGATATTCTTGGGTTGAACCTCCAGTAGTTAGGAAAACCTTTGATACTGCACAAATATGGACTCTTTTTTCTCTTATCTGAGGGTGATGAAGTTGAAGGGAAAAAGGCCCATGGAGAGCCATATTAATTTCTACCTTTTGTGACCACATGTCTTATTATAGGAGTTCATCAAAAGTATTGTATAAAATGTTTGTCAACCACTTTGTAAATGTCTATGTATACACAAGAAGTTATTGATGAACTTTTAAGGTAGATATTTGTCTCACTCTTTTCATTTTTGTTGTGTTTTTTAAAATAAGTGGTCCAATCCTGGTCTAAAAACTGTTCCAGGTCCATTAGAAGGTAAGACATGTATGTCAAAATGTCAATCAACTACATCATTAAACACATAGACTTAGTTCATCAGTTACTGTTATTATTATTTTTGTAACAAGACTTTCTTGGTGAAGGAAGCAGTATACCATTCGTGTGGTTGAAGAACTGTTCTAAAAGATTTTAATAAATTCAAATTCAGTGCTCCTTTCTTCAAAATTTCATATCATTTTGCATAAACTGTGATATAGAATTTAAGAACAATATATAATAATATGATAATACAAATAAGAATTAATTAATGGTGATTCTGTTTTCTTCATTGATTGTGACATCTTTGAAGATAACCTGTGGTCTGATGATAACAATAACCATTTTTTTCTAATCATTTACCTTTAGGCAACTGGCTAGCATATTATAAATATTTGTTATATAAATGAATACATGAATATATAAAGAAACATTAGATTCTTATTGTTTTTGAAGGTAAACAAAACTAAGGTATAAAATATCTAAAGATAGGAGAATAAAACTAGTGACAGATATAAGGGACAACTCCAGATTTTATTTAAATAATGGGCAATTTACAAGGAATAGTGTAGGAGCAAAGGACTACTACTAGCTCAAGTCTCATCACTCATAGGCACAAAGGGATGAAGCAGAGATCAGTAATTGGTACCAGAAGGGAGAGAATTGTCTTGAGTTGTGTAGAGCAGGGCAATGAAGTTTGGTGGAAGAGCAGGCTAAGTTAAAGCAATCTAGTGGAAGGAAAACAAAGGGATAATATCTTGACCTCACTTTCTCCCTTTCATCTGACTTCCTGTAGGTTCACCATTGGCTGAATCCAACCGGAACCCAAAGGGTGTGGAAATCCTGTTGAGGCAGTTGGTACAGGTCAGACTTCCAAGGCACAGAGCAGGGTGCAGAAGTACGGGGAATAAGATGGAAGATGCATTACATGCAATGATAGCTTTCCTTCCAACAGATTTTTCTTTTGCTCCACTGAAGGAAATGATTTCTAAAAGGCATACATGAAAAGAGAGATACAGGGTTTTTATTTGAATGGAAGTCTCAATACAACATTGCCATTTATTCTGAGGCATTTAATCACTTAATGATTTTTCATTTTAAGAAATATTTCAGACATATATAAGATGGTTTACCTAGGGAGAACAGTCATGTACCTATCACCCAGCCTAATAACTAAAACATTATGAAAAACAGATTGAAGGCCCTCAGTAGTCTCCCCATTCACATTCCCTTCTTCCTCTGCAGAAGTAGCCAACATGTGGAATCTGGTGGCTGTCATTCTCATTCATTTCTTTGAAATGTTACTATATATCTTTTCCCACTCAAACAATATTTATAATTGTTCAAATGGTAAATGTATCAGTTTTGCAAGATGAGTAAGTTCTAGAGATCTGTATAGCATAGAGCCTATAGTATTGTCCACTTAGACGTTTGTTATGAGGGTAAATATCCTGCTGTGCTCTCACCACAAAGGAGAAAGGAAGAAAGAAGGAAAGAAATAAAGGACTTAAAGTTTGGGAGGTCATGGACATTATCTATTACTTTGAATTGTAGTGGTGGTTTCACAGGTGTATGTGTATGTCCAAACTCACTAAAATGTGTACATTAAATTATACCTCAATAAAGCTGTCAAAAAAACATATATAAATGATATCACACAGCATGCATTTTTCTGCACCTTGATATATTTTATGCAACATTTTTATTTTGGGGGTTGTATGCAGGTTGATTCATTTGGCACAATTTTTTTTTCATTCACTTTCATTGCTCTACAGTATTCTATGACTTGATGCAAATCCTCTCACTGTGTTCAACATTAGAATCCTATGATTTTAAAAATCAGGTTGTTTACTGCAGCTATGTTTTTTTTGAATTGGTTAATTTCTTCACCAGGTTGTGTTGTGCGGTAGTGGAGATCAGTGAAACCCAGTTCTTGTTTTTTTTTTAGTTACCCCAGAACAGAATTTTATCTTCTTCCACCCTTATCCTCACCTAGGCAAAGTGCTTGGAAGGGAACCTAGCACAGGGTAAGTATTAAAAAGCCCCCTCTGAGGGCAGGGGGGCCTTCGGGCAAGGGACCAGAATGCCTGAGTTTTTATCTCAGCTGTGCTACTTAGTTCCTCTGGGACTTTGCACAAGTTAGTCGGCTCTTCTGTGCCTCAGGATCCACATCTGTGAAATGGAGTATAAAAACGGGCCCCACCTCATAGGGGCTTTTGAGGATTAAGAGTGAATGAGAATACTCAGAGAACATAGGACAGACCCAGCCAGTGGCACGGTACTGTGTTTGTTTTGCCGGGTTCCTGCGCCCTTGCTCCAGGCTCACGCTGTCTGGACTATGTATCTCCACAGTCTTGGCCCTTGGACACACCAGATCTGGTCCGGGCACGAGTGAGCTGATGAGTCACCCCTTTCAGTGGCAGTTTCCCGTACCACTGTCCTGCTGAATGAGCCTGACTTACATCCGGAGGCTGGGCACATTTTTGTGGCACGGCCCAGTTGCCACTGCACTCGTATTTCCAGTCTAGGTGAGACCGTACTCCTTCACTTTCCCTCGTAAGCGTTTTAACATAGAGACTGTCAAATATTATGCTGCTTTTCTTTTTCCAAGCATATACATTTTTGTTGAATAAGGTGTTAGGAGCTGAACTGGTGACATGACCCGAACTTCTAAAGCTATCCTCCTTTTCTCTCGGTTTGATGCTTCTTACTCATACAACCTACATTTCTTCCAGCTGGAGGTGGTGTGGGGTGGGGACCAGCACTCTGTGCAGTGTGTGGTAGGAAAGCCAGTCTTTTTCACCTCATCAGGTTTTCACCAAGAAGGCCAGGAGGGTCTCACACCTAGAGCTGCTGCCTCCCCATCTGACACTCCCTACTCTTCATCTGCCATTCCACGAGCCCTTTGTTCTGTGAGCATCCCTTACCTGCTGCCATCCTCACTACCCACTTGCTGTTAGCCCTCGGACCCCCTGACCCCCTCCTCCAGGCACGGACCCCATGATTGGATGTAGTGCCTGGAGCTGGGCTTCCTTGCTGCATGCTCTGCAAGCTGGGCCGGGCATTGCTTCCACTTGGGCACTTTTTCTTTCAGTGCTCACTTTCCTTCTTCCAGTCTGGTGTCTTTCATGGAAAATCAGTCCCATATAATGGGCACACCCCAAGTTTTGGCCGGTTTAAGTTCTTTCCCTCAGAGTTCCTGGGCTGTGTGCTGATTAGGGTCTCTGGATGTTCCATGTCACGGAAAGAACCTGGATTGCTCAGAGCACACAGAGGCCTTAGGGGCGGCGTGGCCCAACTCTTCAAGTCACCGGAAGCTCTACACCTTCTACCTAAGTTAGCAGCAACTGCTTAAGTTTCCATGTTGGTAGGGCAGTCATTTTGGAAGCAGAAAGCCCAGAATTTATATATCTCTTAAAATGACAATTATATGAGTATTTAACTAAGAGTGTTCTTGAGAAACTATGTGAATGAGAAATACCAGAGATGTAAAAAATTTTAATCATTATTTTATAAAAATCTGTTCTGTCTTTAAGGTGTGAAAGGAATATTGGAGTCTTTATGATGTACTAATGCCTAAAAAGACCAATATAGGCTCTTCCCTTCAGAAGGTGGCATATTAATTAAGTATTCTTCTGTCCTGCAAGTGTTACTCAGACCAGCCTGACAGTCTCGGGCACTGTTCTATAAGCTGGGGTTTGATGAGGAACAAAGGGACACTCCATGCTCTCATGCAGCTTATGTTCCAGTAGTTTTAGGGTTTGATTAGACTACATGCTAGGATTTGGGGGAGTCTAGTTACTTCACATCCAGAAAAGGTGGATATTCCTAGTGTGGAAGCACATATTATGAGTCAACTATCTGTTTGAGAACACGGGGCAAAAAGAAGTCCAGAATCTAGTGGGGAAGTTAGATGTGGGTATAACTAAAAGATACCATAAAAAATGCTGTGATAGAGAGCTTAGAACAACAGAATACATAATATATAACATAATAAAATATAATATAAAAATGCTATGAAGAGAGCTTAGAACATTGGGCTTTAATCAGGTTTCACAAGAGGGTAAACTTAAGCTATAATAAAAAGCTAGTAAATGAGTTTCAGAAAACAGCACAAGATTGGACCAGACTAGAGATTTCCAAGGCTGAGAATCAAAGAGACATCCAGGAGGTAATTACAGGATAGATGAGGATGATGGAAATTAGGAAAGGATTCTCAGGCACGAGCTGTGGGAGGACCTTCCTCCCCCAGGGTCAGTGATGAAGGCAGGTCATCTAGGGGTGATAATATCTGGGGGAAGGGTAGAACCAACAAATAATGGTGGAGCCCTTATTATTTATCTAAAATAATAAAAATAACCAGAAGCTCAGGTTTATAGCCTGAGAACTCTGTTGTCTGGTTGGACTTTGTGCCATTGCAAAATGAAATGAGAAAGTTATTAAAATAATGCAAATTCTTACTAAAAGTAAGCATTATTTATAACAGAAACTTCTTGTAATTCAAGGTTTATTATGTGAAAATTATCCAATAATTGGTAGGATTTGGAGGGTAATACATTGTTCCTTTTTCAATTCCCATGTAAGAAAAGGAAAAGACTTTAGTCAAGCTGGATAGGATCAGAATAAGACAGGAAAACTTCATTCATCTCCAGAATACTCTTGATTTAGTTGTAATTTTGTCTTTCATATATGATGATGGAACTACTGAACCACCATTAGGGGGAATATCTTTTGGTTCCTCTAGTCAGCCCCTCAAAGGTGAGTTAATTGTATAAATGGCTTCACCTGATCGCTCAATAGCTAACATATTGGCTACCAAATATAAGTGTGGAAGATCAGGAATATAAAGAGTCATAAGATGTGGTGTACGGTCCCAATCTTCATAGAACTTAAAATCTCAATAGAAGGGCATAGGATAAGAAAAAGCAATACTACATAGACTAGAGTTAAAGTATAGACTCAAGTCTTGGATCAGAGACCAGCCCATACACTAACCCAGAACCTCGAGAGAATATGTAAGCAGCAGAAGCTAGACATTTCTACAGACTCAAAGCAGCTCGATTCACTGAAATCAATTCCCAAAAGGTCAATTTGTCAAAACTGATGAATTATGGAAGATTTTTTTGAAAGTTTTATGTGCACTATAGCCTTTTCACCTCAGCCACTTTATTAAGGATTTACCCATTCAGTTTAGCTGGATGCTAATTTCATGCATATTTTACAATTTGGATGCCTCGTATTTCTCAGATGCTAATGATTTATCTGTGACTGGGTGGTCTTTTTCTTGAACCCAGTTTATAGCCTTCTCCATGTTGGTGGGCTTGTGTCCACTCTTGAAACTGTCCTCCTACAGTTGCAACAAAGCTTCCTGCAACCTCAGGATACGGAGCTGACATGTTCCTCCAGATGGTCTTTTGCTGGGTATGCCATCATGGTGCAATGCTTTGAATAAACTGACTTTCAGCAAGTTAACCCAAATCAGGTTAAATTAATGTCAAGCACTCCAGACTACCTCTGAACTTGTGTTTCTTTCACCAAAGTCTTTGTATCTCTGAGTTATAAAATTAGAAACCACCTTACTATTTTTAGTGACTTTTAATAACTTTTCTATTTTATATCCTCCTAACAGAGATAATATTAGCAAAAATAATCTTCACTCTACTTTTTAAAATCTTACCTTTTACTCTCCTCAAAGAATAAAGTCCTGAATGTAGCATGATCTAAACAAACCACTAATTGGTATTAGGAGCTTAGATTCTAGTTCTAAACACTTACATGAACTCCTTAACACTCAAATATTTATTTCTATGAAATAGAGATAAATCATCAGTCTCTACCTTCCATGTAAATAAAATAGTAAAGGAATTTGAGGTGATAAAGTAGCTACTATGATCATTGAGGAGGAAGAGAATAGAGTAATTGAGCTTCACTAATAGGCTCCAATATTTACCTAGCACTGTTGACTCAAGGCATTGTATTGTATACCATGGATAATTTTTTGAAAAGTGACTATAGCCATACATATGTAATGAGATGGGACAAAGGGCAAACTCTTCAGCATGCCATAGAGGTTCCTTCTGAATTGGCTCTTGTCCTCTTAGCTGCGTCTCCAGCCATTGCCCCAAACTTGTCTCTGTAACTGTATGGAACCATGCACATCACTCCATTCACTCCATGAAACCCCGTACTCCTTTTGCTGTGCCATCTGCCTGGAGCACGGTGCTCCCTTTCTGTTCTGGCCTGCTGATTTCTACTAGTCCTCCTCTTTCCACTCTCTTCTCCCTCTATCCTCTTATACTGATGTAGGAATTTTCTTTTATAATTCCATACTTACAGATTTTATCATCTATGTTGTAACCTACTGTTTTCTTATTTTTCTTTCTCCTTCCAGACTATGAGCTGAGGGGAGCTGGGACCACTTGACTGAGCCACTGGTGTAGTGAGTGACACTGAATAGGTGCTCAATAAATGCTAGATGAATGTACTAATGAGTTTAATACAGTGCCTCAAGCACTTATTCATAGTTGCATTCCCAGCATTGTATAGGCAGGAAGCATGGTGCAAAAGGGGAACTGGCCGGTTAACTGGGGAGCCAGAGCCATTAACTGCCCCCTCTTCCCACCCCACACACACCTACAGCAAC